TAATGGGGTTCCCTTATTATAGTAGGTTAGAGTTAAAATTACAGTAGTTTCCACTCTATTTTCCATTCTCCCTCTATAATCCCTATATCCCCCGTATAATGGGGTTTCCTTATTGTAGAAAGTTAATATCGTAAACAATGCGGCTTCCTACTTCTTGTAGTAACCTAAGACAGTTCCTTGACAGCAGCCCAGAAAACCCATATGCCAGATCATGACCTCACAAGCAATCCTCCCAGCAATGACAAAAGCTAAGCGCGCATGAGAACTTACAGTGTAATCATCCCAGGGCTTAGGGTTTAGGTTTGGGGTTTACCTACTTTGCGCTGAAAAAAAGGCCAAACTCCTCACAATTTGCCAGGATCATTGAATCTCTGAACATCTCCGCACCTTTGAAATCCTGAACCCTAAAAAGCCCTAAAAACCCAAACCTTTAACCCTCAAAAACCCTAAGCCCTAAAACCCTCAACCCTAGAATCTTCATTAAACCCTAAAAAACCTTTAAGCCGAAGAGATGACAGCAAGGGGCACTGCCGGCCGTGTCTTCGGGTCGCAGGCGGTACATGACGAGGTATCTTCCGAAGTTCGCCATGAAGGACCTTGAGTGCCCAGCATCGGGTGCAGGGTTTAAGGTTCAGGGTTTAGAGTTTGAGGGTGTAGGGCTTAGAGCTTTAGGGTTTTAGATGGTTTTAGGGTTTAGGGTCTGGAGATTTGGGGGTGCAAGATTGCATGATAGCTTAGAGAAGGTTTTGGTTTCGGGAATCTTCGCGCGCAGTGTGCACTACAACTTTATGACCTGCTACTCCTCTGATTCCCTGGTGCAACCGATTTTTCCCTTTCTTGGTTTACAGCAACAGTACGTGAACCACTGTGACCAGGACACGGCAGGAAGACGTTGGTGCCAACGACAGCTGCCGTCCCTGTCGATCGGACTGCAGCCAAGCCTACCTCGGATATTCAGCATGCCTTTGGGGCTTAGGTATGTGGAATAGAGATTATTCAAATCTAGCATAATTACTTTAAATTCCCTAGCGTTAGGGAGGAGGGGGGTATAGAGGGAAAAGAAGGTGCGACATAATGCATGACCTGATAATCGGACGGGCGTCAATGAGGCAGGCGGGCACGATGGAGGTCAGCAAATGGGTGTTGATGGCCGTGGGCGCGCATCCCAGCCTGCCAGAAGCAAAGAACTCCAACAAAATCCCGGATGGGCTCGTGTACAAACCTGGTAGTAAATTCCTTCTAGACTGCAACCGAAGCGTTTTTTACTCCTTATCGCGTTTCTGTGCTTGGGGTTCCTTAAACCTTATCGTTTTTGTTTACTCCTTATCGTTTTACAGGTCGAACGTTATCTCGAGACACTCATGACATAACGTCGAGAAGCCGGGTTCATATACAACCCCAGATGGCGCACTCTAGGCAGAGCCTAAGATGCTGGCACTAGACCCTCTGACTATCCTCTCAATTCCGGCTTAAGCACGGGTGCTACAGGCCTTGATACCCACCCTCATCAGTACGAAGGGGGAACGGGAGTGCCCCACGGACCACTTGTACACGCCAGGTGCATGCGATGTTCATGCGATGCTTCTATCATGCGTATGCTTTTGGGATTTGCGCCGGTCTGCCCTCACAGCACTTGCTTTCGAATTTTGAAAAAGCGCAACTAGAATCTTAACCTCACGCTGCCTCTTGCTGGCTTCTTGTATGGAAAAGTCAACTGAGCGTGAATTTTGACCCCATGGCCTACTCGTGATGCTAGGGTTCGTACGAATTCAGGACGTGCCCCTATTGAAGTCCAGGTGCAACGCCAGGAAGCACTGGTTGGAAAACTGCCCACTGTTGCCTGCAGGGCGCAGGTGCTAACAGCAAAGGAACTTGGCATAGGCTCCCTTACAGAGGACAATAATCTTTGAGAGTTGGGTTCCATGTTCCATGTTAATTCCAAGAGGGTCGTTGCCAGAACCTTGTAGGAAACACAGTCTGAATCTTCGCACCCCACCTTGACCACTTGCGAAATCCACCGGGATCTGCAAGGAGACCAAGGAGTTGCGGGTGCTTGTGGAAAGCCGCCCATAGGATGGCGTCTGCATGACTGCAGACCTGAGCCCAAAAGGACAAGTAGTAACCAGAAAGCCCATGCTTGAGGAATAGATACCCTAGCGTGCATGATGTAAGGGATGTTCCCTAAGCAACGGGTATTGGGCGAGAAGTCTCTCAATGCGGTTCCAACGCAAGGCCGGCAACAGGAGTGGCATAGGAAGAAACACATCTCAACGAAAGCATCAAAAGATCAAGCCTGCCTAACATGTGGCAAAGCACTGCATGCAAATAGCATGAGACAGCAGTTGGAAGTAAGTAAGTTAATGCCTGCGAGCGTGTCAAGTGAAGGTCAAGGAGCATCGCAATTGTTGCGACGGCCGCGAACGCCATCAACTCGTTGATCAGAATCGAGCTCGCCGCGTGGTCGCGTTTGGCATTTGACACCTCAAACAGCGGCTCTCACGCATTTGGATGCTTAGAGGTGGCTTATAAGGCCTTTGTTTCGGAAGGGGGAGATGGCTAATGCGGCAGCTGCTTGCAAGTTTTAGGTGGCCTGGGCAGAAAGGTGTTTCAGGGTTCAGGACTTTTGGCGCAGCAGAAGCGCCTGCATTCTCCAAACCTAAGTGTCCCATAATTGCTCGCCCAATGGCCATAATCTCACTCACTAATACCTCTTGGTGCTTGTAATCATGAATTAGACTATAAGACTATATTCATGAGTTGCTCTAATGACTTGATTCTCAAATTCCCGATTGTACGCACTACTTCACCACTACAGCCTGTTGGCAAGGACACCTGTGCAGCAAAATTCAAAGAATTGCAGGCTCCAGAGGTCCGCCGAAGTTTGAAAGGAGTGGAGTCAGCTTAGTGGGTAGACGCTGTTGCAAAAGATATTTAGGGATAGAACGAGGAACATCCTAGGGCGAGGCCCACCCTAGGTACCCCCACCAGTAAAGCACCGTGGTCTAGGCGTTGGGGTTTAGTTTAGGCAGGGGTTCTTCAAGGAAGTGCCAGGCCAGCGGTCAAGATCTCCAGGCTACACAACAAAACAAGTTCAGAGAGCTTTTAGATGGCAATGCATGTGAGCTATAGTCTGAACTCCTAGTATCCCCCTTAATGACCGCTATTGTAGTCCCTATACAAGCCCCCCCCCTTTAAGGAGTTTAGACTATAGCTCATGTTGAGAGCCACGGCTATGAAGCATGACGCTGTCATCTTTCTTATCCGGGTTTAGGGTTCAGGGGTTTAGGGTTCCACCAGGCTTTGAGGGGTCATTGATACATTGACCCCATGCAGCAAATGATATGAAGGACCCCACCGTTTTTTGCAATCTCCTGCTCTTGTGACTGAAATCTGACTCCCACTCCCACACCCACCTCTGAAGCCAACCCTGGAGATCCAAATAACCCAATGTAGGTAATATTTACAGACTTTAGGGTCCAATGTAGGCATTGCACCCCAGGGATCCAGATAGCCCAATGTAGGTAATAGTTACAGACTTTTGGGCCCAATGTAGGCATTCATTTCTGTACTTCTGATTCTATACTCGGATCCCTAGGGCAAAATCTACACACTGATCACACTGTCACCGCAGCGCTGGGGAGCAGACCGAAGCTGCGGCAGAGACCTGGGCCGTCCATGATAATCCAAGAAACTAGGTGATCCAGTTGTTCAGGAGCTTATATTAAGCTACTAGAATAAGGAAACCCTATAATTTACTATATGCCCCTATTATGGTAACTCAGCTTAAGTTCCTTAACAGCAACCCAGATGATAATCCGAGAAAGCATCTGGTTTGGGATTTATAGAGAGAGGGCCCGCAAATGAAACTCACTTTTCCAGGGCCGTCAGACAGTTGGGTACATTTAGGGTCTAGGGTTTAGGGTTTATCATTGAAATCAAAGTGTGCCAGCAATAGCCTAGATGCCAGGAGCACAACATTCTTGACGACCTGCATCGTCATGAAGAAGGCTGCCTCTGCATGCACGTCCGATGAGGGAATGAATCTTCAACACTGAGATGGCTCAATCATAAGAGACTCGTTCCCGTCTGTATGTAGCCACACCTAGCATTATCAAGCAGCCGAGTCGTTTTGATGTCTGGCATAAGCTCTACATGCAGTTTCGTTCGCTGCAGCTCAGTGTGAGACGCGTAGAATGGAGGGGAACTTCAGTGGTGTATGTTACTCCCACAGGAACTGGTTACAAGCGGTAGGTGTAGAAGTTTCCGAGCTGCCCCCCGCAGCCCCCAAATTTGACATTCTGGATGGTGGTTCGAACAATACCCCAAACCCTGAACGTAGCATCTTGCAAACTTGGCTTTGACCGTACATTCTCACGAAGTGCACTCACCGGATTCCCTCGCCTCTTTGGTGGACGTCGAGCACTGGATGCATTGCAGCGGATTCGCGTCAGCACGCGAGTAGTTGTCCGCACAATGCATGCACCTGAGAGCGGCTGAAAGCGATTCAGGAGTCCGTGGGTTGTGGATTTGGGGAGCGGCTGGCACCACCTGGCGCCAGGCATCCAAATGCACGCTGCCATGCCCCTTCCGATCCCTCAGACTCTACACATGGTGCTCACAAAGTAAACCCCTAAACCCTAAACCCCAAATCCTAAGCCCTAAACCCCATACCCGAAACCCGAGTGCAAGATAAGCTGACAGCCAAGCCGCCCTGCTCCCGCATAGCCTTCCGCGCACATCGGCGCAGTCTCCTTGGGCCCCGCCTGCATGTTCATGCGCCATGCAGACTTCAAAGGATACATATATAGACCATATATATATATGTATATATTTATATGTATATCTATATATGTATATATACATATATAGATATATATAGGACGTGGGGATATGACCGCACCCGCCCCAACAACGAAGAATCACATGGAACAGGTATTCGAGAGTGACTGGGCTTCATATGGAGGGCGGTATTACTAAAGGCCTTTCTTTTACCGAAAATGGAGACTGTGTTCATATATATATATATGTATATATTACAGGGAAGGTTTTACCTAAAATGGAAATGGGGATTCTGGTTGTTAAGACCCTAAATTCTACACCCTGCATAGTCCCCTTTAAGGAGTTT